TGTAGATCCAGGACTGAGGCTGTAGATCCAGGACTGAGGTTGTAGATCCAGGACTGAGGCTGTAGATCCAGGACTGAGGCTGTAGACCTAGGACTGAGGCTGTAGATCCAGGACTGAGGCTGTAGATCCAGGACTGAGGCTGTAGATCCAGGACTGAGGCTGTAGATCCACGACTGAGGCTGTAGACCCAGGACTGAGGCTGTAGATCCAGGACTGAGGCTGTAGATCCAGGACTGAGGCTGTAGATCCAGGACTGAGGCTGTAGATCCAGGACTGAGGCTGTAGATCCAGGACTGAGGCTGTAGATCCACGACTGAGGCTGTAGACCCAGGACTGAGGCTGTAGACCCAGGACTGAGGCTGTAGATCCAGGACTGAGGCTGTAGATCCACGACTGAGGCTGTAGATCCAGGACTGAGGCTGTAGACCTAGGACTGAGGCTGTAGATCCAGGACTGAGGCTGTAGATCCAGGACTGAGGCTGTAGATCCAGGACTGAGGCTGTAGATCCACGACTGAGGCTGTAGACCCAGGACTGAGGCTGTAGATCCAGGACTGAGGCTGTAGATCCAGGACTGAGGCTGTAGATCCAGGACTGAGGCTGTAGATCCAGGACTGAGGCTGTAGACCCAGGACTGAGGCTGTAGACCCAGGACTGAGGCTGTAGACCCAGGACTGAGGCTGTAGATCCAGGACTGAGGCTGTAGATCCACGACTGAGGCTGTAGATCCAGGACTGAGGCTGTAGATCCAGGACTGAGGCTGTAGATCCAGGACTGAGGCTGTAGACCTAGGACTGAGGCTGTAGACCTAGGACTGAGGCTGTAGACCTAGGACTGAGGCTGTAGATCCAGGACTGAGGCTGTAGATCCACGACTGAGGCTGTAGATCCACGACTGAGGCTGTAGATCCAGGACTGAGGCTGTAGATCCAGGACTGAGGCTGTAGACCCAGGACTGAGGCTGTAGACCCAGGACTGAGGCTGTAGACCCAGGACTGAGGCTGTAGACCCAGGACTGAAGAGGCTTCCAGGCGGGGAGGGGCCGGGGGAGACCAGTTTACAGGTGTAAATAAAAGAGGCCATATTCAGGGGTCCAGTCATCACATCATGGAACAGACAATGGGACAGCGGGCGAATAGCAATGAACGGACTTGAGCTGAAGTCACATGACATGGCTGGAACACCTCTCTGGAGAGACGTCCAGGAGGCATCCCAAACAGCAGCTCTACTCCGAGCTCCATCTAGGACGTACTTTGTGGTTGGTCAAAAGCAGGGGTCAGCAACCTTTGTGACATGGAGTGCCAGTTTGAAATGTTCCCCCCATCTGGTGTGCCATTATCAACGATAATGCAAAGTTCAATTATGACACAAAATACATAAACATTTCAAATATACCTGGAATTTTATTCTAAACAATAACAGTATCTGTATTCTTAATAAAATAGCCACATCAACATTTCAAAGACTGAAAAACAGCTAGCCTACAAATTTAAACTAAAACTAGTGTAGGCTGAGGCAACATCAAATGATCAGATGCCTTTATCAGCAAGTCAGTGTGACCCCTGGCCCTACAGCAGACAGTCAGTGTGATCCTGGCCCTACAGCAGACAGTCAGTGTGACCCCTGGCCCTACAGCAGACAGTCAGTGTGACCCCTGGCCCTACAGCAGACAGTCAGTGTGATCCTGGCCCTACAGCAGACAGTCAGTGTGACCCCTGGCCCTACAGCAGACAGTCAGTGTGATCCTGGCCCTACAGCAGACAGTCAGTGTGACCCCTGGCCCTACAGCAGACAGTCAGTGTGACCCCTGGCCCTACAGCAGACAGTCAGTGTGATCCTGGCCCTACAGCAGACAGTCAGTGTGACCCCTGGCCCTACAGCAGACAGTCAGTGTGATCCTGGCCCTACAGCAGACAGTCAGTGTGACCCCTGGCCCTACAGCAGACAGTCAGTGTGATCCTGGCCCTACAGCAGACAGTCAGTGTGATCCTGGCCCTACAGCAGACAGTCAGTGTGACCCCTGGCCCTACAGCAGACAGTCAGTGTGATCCTGGCCCTACAGCAGACAGTCAGTGTGATCCTGGCCCTACAGCAGACAGTCAGTGTGACCCCTGGCCCTACAGCAGACAGTCAGTGTGACCCCTGGCCCTACAGCAGACAGTCAGTGTGACCCCTGGCCCTACAGCAGACAGTCAGTGTGACCCCTGGCCCTACAGCAGACAGTCAGTGTGACCCCTGGCCCTACAGCAGACAGTCAGTGTGATCCTGGCCCTACAGCAGACAGTCAGTGTGACCCCTGGCCCTACAGCAGACAGTCAGTGTGATCCTGGCCCTACAGCAGACAGTCAGTGTGATCCTGGCCCTACAGCAGACAGTCAGTGTGATCCTGGCCCTACAGCAGACAGTCAGTGTGACCCCTGGCCCTACAGCAGACAGTCAGTGTGATCCTGGCCCTACAGCAGACAGTCAGTGTGACCCCTGGCCCTACAGCAGACAGTCAGTGTGATCCTGGCCCTACAGCAGACAGTCAGTGTGACCCCTGGCCCTACAGCAGACAGTCAGTGTGATCCTGGCCCTACAGCAGACAGTCAGTGTGATCCTGGCCCTACAGCAGACAGTCAGTGTGACCCCTGGCCCTACAGCAGACAGTCGGTGTGATCCTGGCCCTACAGCAGACAGTCGGTGTGATCCTGGCCCTACAGCAGACAGTCAGTGTGATCCTGGCCCTACAGCAGACAGTCAGTGTGACCCCTGGCCCTACAGCAGACAGTCAGTGTGATCCTGGCCCTACAGCAGACAGTCAGTGTGACCCCTGGCCCTACAGCAGACAGTCGGTGTGATCCTGGCCCTACAGCAGACAGTCAGTGTGACCCCTGGCCCTACAGCAGACAGTCAGTGTGATCCTGGCCCTACAGCAGACAGTCAGTGTGACCCCTGGCCCTACAGCAGACAGTCAGTGTGATCCTGGCCCTACAGCAGACAGTCGTGTGACCTGGCCCTACAGCAGACAGTCAGTGTGATCCTGGCCCTACAGCAGACAGTCAGTGTGATCCTGGCCCTACAGCAGACAGTCAGTGTGATCCTGGCCCTACAGCAGACAGTCAGTGTGACCCCTGGCCCTACAGCAGACAGTCAGTGTGACCCCTGGCCCTACAGCAGACAGTCAGTGTGACCCCTGGCCCTACAGCAGACAGTCAGTGTGATCCTGGCCCTACAGCAGACAGTCAGTGTGATCCTGGCCCTACAGCAGACAGTCAGTGTGATCCTGGCCCTACAGCAGACAGTCAGTGTGATCCTGGCCCTACAGCAGACAGTCAGTGTGACCCCTGGCCCTACAGCAGACAGTCAGTGTGACCCCTGGCCCTACAGCAGACAGTCAGTGTGATCCTGGCCCTACAGCAGACAGTCAGTGTGATCCCTGGCCATATAGCAGACAGTCAGTGTGATCCTGGCCCTACAGCAGACAGTCAGTGTGATCCTGGCCCTACAGCAGACAGTCAGTGTGACCCCTGGCCCTACAGCAGACAGTCAGTGTGATCCTGGCCCTACAGCAGACAGTCAGTGTGATCCTGGCCCTACAGCAGACAGTCAGTGTGATCCTGGCCCTACAGCAGACAGTCAGTGTGATCCTGGCCCTACAGCAGACAGTCAGTGTGATCCTGGCCCTACAGCAGACAGTCAGTGTGATCCTGGCCCTACAGCAGACAGTCAGTGTGACCCCTGGCCCTACAGCAGACAGTCAGTGTGACCCCTGGCCCTACAGCAGACAGTCAGTGTGACCCCTGGCCCTACAGCAGACAGTCAGTGTGACCCCTGGCCCTACAGCAGACAGTCAGTGTGATCCTGGCCCTACAGCAGACAGTCAGTGTGATCCTGGCCCTACAGCAGACAGTCAGTGTGATCCTGGCCCTACAGCAGACAGTCAGTGTGACCCCTGGCCCTACAGCAGACAGTCAGTGTGATCCTGGCCCTACAACAGACAGTCAGTGTGATCCTGGCCCTACAGCAGACAGTCAGTGTGACCCCTGGCCCTACAGCAGACAGTCAGTGTGACCCCTGGCCCTACAGCAGACAGTCAGTGTGATCCTGGCCCTACAGCAGACAGTCAGTGTGATCCTGGCCCTACAGCAGACAGTCAGTGTGATCCTGGCCCTACAGCAGACAGTCAGTGTGACCCCTGGCCCTACAGCAGACAGTCAGTGTGATCCTGGCCCTACAGCAGACAGTCAGTGTGACCCCTGGCCCTACAGCAGACAGTCAGTGTGATCCTGGCCCTACAGCAGACAGTCAGTGTGAATCCTGGCCCTACAGCAGACAGTCAGTGTGATCCTGGCCCTACAGCAGACAGTCAGTGTGATCCTGGCCCTACAGCAGACAGTCAGTGTGATCCTGGCCCTACAGCAGACAGTCAGTGTGATCCTGGCCCTACAACAGACAGTCAGTGTGATCCTGGCCCTACAACAGACAGTCAGTGTGATCCTGGCCCTACAACAGACAGTCAGTGTGATCCTGGCCCTACAGCAGACAGTCGGTGTGATCCTGGCCCTACAGCAGACAGTCAGTGTGATCCTGGCCCTACAGCAGACAGTCAGTGTGATCCTGGCCCTACAGCAGACAGTCAGTGTGATCCTGGCCCTGCTTGAGCTCTGTGATCTGGGGCTTGTAGTTAATTACCAGTTCTGGATATTTTTGGCCCTTTTCATTATGAAAGGCCTTGATAGCATCAAAGCAGCTGACAAATCGCTCCGCAACTCAGCCGTCTCACTGCTGAGTGGAGAGGCCGATCTGTATACTGCAAATCCACGCGGTGGTGTTCTCTGGGTCCTAGTGCTGGCTAACTAAAGTGCACAGACAAAGAGGCAGATGCTTTTATTTTTAAAACAGGACAGATAAAGTGAGTATCGTAATAATACGGGGGTGCAAGCGTGTCAGTGTTTATTCCGCGGCGTGCCACAGGTTGCCGACCCCTGGTCTAAAGAGTTAAACAATCTTTCTTTTGCAGTGTCTGGCCGTGTGGGAGACCTTCCTCCTGTCTCAGAAAGTGGATCCCACCTCCTCCTGAACCAGGAGCCAGTCCAGAGACCAGACCGGCACAAAGAGTTCCTCCTCTCGTTGAAGACATATGTGATGTCTCTACAGGCCAGACTAGAGACCAGGCCAGACTAGAGACCAGGCCAGACTAGAGACCAGGCCAGACTAGAGACCAGGCCAGACTAGAGACCAGGCCAGACTAGAGACCAGGCCAGACTAGAGACCAGGCCAGACTAGAGACCAGGCCAGACTAGAGACCAGGCCAGACTAGAGACCAGGCCAGACTAGAGACCAGGCCAGACTAGAGACCAGACCACAGACCAAACCAGACCCGATGTGACAGACTTGGAAATTTCCTCCAAAAAGAAAACTATTTGACTCTCGGCTCAGAGAACCAGAAACACATGACGTTTTGTGAGTTGGGAACCATGTGTACTTACTATAGAGTTGAAAGTTACGAACCTCAGCTTTAATGATTTGCTAAACTTGAAATGCCAAAGTTCTCAAGATCATGTTTAAGGGTCAGGCAAACGGCTCCATCTTTCTTCTTTCATTCTTTACCGCTGCTTGATTCACGGTACCATCATGCTTCTGTAAATCTGTTTTTTTATTTCCCACCCAAATATTTACTTTATTTTCTTCTTATTTTCAAATTCAGACGATTCAGATTTTTTGTGATTTTAACGATCTACATTTCAGCTTTAACACATTTCACCGCTGTGTATTTATATATTTACTGTTGGCTTATTTTGAAAAGGGACTGATAATGATGTGTATGTTTAACACTTTCTGAAACTACTAGAACTCCCAGAGCCGTCATTTTGACTGCTCCCGTTTAAAACCAATGGAATTCTGAGAAATGGCCTTAAAAGATTTTGGTTTTTCACCAGATTTATTAAAAGTAAAAAAGTTTCAGTGCTAAATCTTGTGAATATAACTTTAGACACAACAGAGGCTAAATGCTAACTGCTGAGAGTAAGCGGGTTGTTGCCATGGTAACTAGAACTGGCTCTGCTCCGGGAGTTAATGGTAAAACGGCACAAATTTTAATCAAAATAATGAAATGCAAATAAACTACATATAGAAACAGAAAAAGTCACAATTATGAAGACCAACCAGGTACACAGCTGTCAAATTGACTGCTCTGGGATTTCTTATGTTAATCCAATCCACTCTATTGATATAGCACTTTTTTTAATTTCCAAAATCATGCACAGAGAGAAAAGTAACACCTTGATTATGTATAAACGTAAACCATTTAAAAAAATAATAAAAACAATAAAATAACAATCATTCACACACTAGTATGAAAGTTAAATGAATATATTATCACAAGACTCCCGCGGTGTGAAAACCCAGAGAATAAAAGTAGGTCTTAAGACGAGACTTGAAACATTCCAACAAGGAGCTATTTGGATGTGGGGTCGGGGTGTTTTCATTTCCAACTTCCTCCACTAGAGGGCAGCGCTGCTCTCACTCTGCTCTTGAGACGCTTCAGAATCAGCTCAGATTCTTAACCGAGAAATGCCAAAGTAACTTGTTCTCAAGAGCTGTGTTTTTCAACCAGTGGGCCGCGGGCTGCTTGGTCAAAATAATGTGTTTGTGCGTGTTTGATTTTCTACATGAAATACTTTGATGAGTGTGAGTGGCTTTAATCTGTTAATAAAAGCTGCAGACTTTCATTATTCAACTGGTGGTGTGTTGTGTGATTCAGATAATTCAGGTTTATTTTTTTCCCCTTCGCAGTAAAACCACATTGGAATACGTGAACAAAGGTCCCCAGTGTGCACCAGACACGTACATACATAAAACAAGCTAAAAAGTTCAGGACACTATTTTCACTGTGAAAGCCATCAACAAAAACAGATTCACTACAAGATCGTTCAAGTGCTTTGTCCAAACGGCTTGTAGAAAGAAGCTGTTAGCATGTCCAGATGTCATGCATCTCAGCAAACCATTTCTTTAGCCAGAGGTAAGAAGCTGGAGCAAGGTTTTCCAGGGGCCAGAAGAGTCATTGATTATTCTAAGAGTCTGGATTCAAAAAGTCACAGAACCAACGTGCAAAATGTCGATGGTGCAGCGATAAAAGTGAAGCAGGATCTTTAGAGTTTGTGGTGAATTTTCTGCAGAAAGAGACGCTGACAATGCTATCCTCTGGTCAAATAGACAGGGATTAAAAAATACACTAAATATTTTTTCCTGAGCTGAATTTTGATGATTTACTTGAACAACCCGTGGCATTTAGACCCTTTTTAACCCTAATTAATGGCCTAAAAGGGTGTATTTTTAATCACTGCGGCGTCATTTTGACCTGAAGGTAGCACAAGTTAACCTTGCCTACAAGCTGAATTCTCGCGGTATTTGTGAGTTCACAAACACTTGAGAATACATCTTGTCCCGCTCCCGCCAACCCTTTTCGAGTAGAACATCTAAGTGTTCAAGCCAATCACGCGCCAGTCTGGGGATTTAGGGCGGGATATCCGGGTTTGACGAAAGCAAGAAGTGCCGGGCCGAAGCAAAACAAACATGGCTACGCAGGAGGACGGACGCGTAGCTGAGGCTATCAAGTCAGTTTTAGCAGAATCTCCAATTTCTTTTTTGAAAGATGAACAGCGAGAGGCGCTTTGTGCATTTCCCGACGGCAAAGATGTTTCCGGGATTGGTTTAAGTCAAACATTGGTAGGCGGGCACACAGCGTCACTTCGACCAATCAGCTTGAAGTATTCTGCTGCTTATCCCTCCTTTCCCCGAAAGGATTCTCCGGGAGAAGTCCCAGACTGATATTGTGGAGAACGCATTAGAGTTCTACACAATCATCAATCTGGCTCTTGCCAGGTTAAGCACAAGTGTTACCTGGTTAGTGTTTTTGTACCACTTCAGGTCATTACAGATTAGTTTTATTTCCAGAAACTTGCCTCCTTTACACTCTGCACTTGGGAGTTATCAATAACAACAGGCGTGTGAGAACTGTTACGACTAAACTCAAAGACAAGTTCAAATGTTTTAGATGTGTTCAGCTGGAGATTGTTTTCTTTACTCCACTGAACAACATTTAGATTTCTGCTCTCGAGGATTCATCAGTGTCACTGATGAGACCAATGATGGAGGCGTCATCAGCATATTTAATGATCAAGTTAGAGTCAGAGGGAGACACACAATTGTGAGTACACAAAAGTAAAAAGCAAAGTACTCGAAATGCATCCATGAAAAAAAGCTATCAATCAAACAGTATCACTTGTTGGAATATTAACTCTTGCACCAGTTAAAACTAAAAACAGTTTAGTATTGTTTCTATTGCCAAATTAGCACTTGTTTGTGTAAATCTCAAAGAGCAGTGAGTTCAAGGTTAGTCTGTGTGAGAATGGGAGGGGGACAAGAGAAAAACAACTGTGGTTATCAGAGCAGGTGCAGGCTTTGGCAGCTGGCCAGAAGAAGTCATAGAGTCCACGAATCTGTGATGTCAGTGACCTTGGGTGTACAGTATAAAAGATGTACAGGAGGAGGCACGGGGACTTTTTGCTTTTTCGTCTGACAAGGAGCAGTGAGACGTCCCCGGGGGCCACTCCTTATCTGAACGCGAAGCGAGATCTGTTCGCGGACCGTTATCTTGTAATATTGCTTGCAAAATCTTCAATATAACCTTTTTGAAATCAGGTTTGGTATCTGTCATTTCTATCACTGTATTAACATTGGTTTTTGTCTCTTGTTGAACTAAAAGGACCTGCAGAACGAAGGGCTGTGTTTGCGGCCTCTCTGCAGCTTCTGGGGCGGGGGAATTCTGACAAATTACTGCAGAACTTGGCGTCGCTCGAACAGGATTTCGACAGGAGACACTAGGACCGGTCAGAGAAAAGATTAATTTGGCGCCAAAGTAAAACGGTAAGATTGTTACCAACTAATTAATCTTTCCTTTCACCTGACCTGAGACCTAAAAATAAAAAATAAAAACAAACAAACACCAAGTAGGGTAAATATTGAAGGATTTGCAAGTATTTTATATTTTATTGGGATAATAGTATTCTAAGTCTAAGTGACGTAAGAAAAGGAGAAAACTGTGTGTTTTATCTCAGTGATTGATAGTTAACCTAAAGGAAAGAAAACTGTGTGTGAGGATCTAAGTGATTTATGAGTTAAGGAGTCAACTGTGTGTTATCTCAGTGATTTAATAGTTGAAGGAGAAAACTGTGTGTTTTAATTAATTGACAATAAGGGAAAGGACAGGGACAGTGTCTAACTTTTCTCACTTTTTAATTTTTCTCTTGGTGTGAATGAGTGATTGATGTTTTCTGTTGAAAGTGACCATTGCACAAACGGTCACAGTGAACGCAGTAACTTGGGTCGCGTAGGACGGGGTCACGATTCGTGCGTACATTTCCCCACCACTTGTGGTTGAACGGGGAGATACCACGATCTGACGCTCTAAGATTACGCACCCAATTGCTGATTTTTTACATTGATATTGATAACACAAGGCTTGTAATCTAGACGGTAGAAAACATGGCATCTGTAACATTAGATGAGTGGATAAAGGGGATTATGATATTCTAATCTCAGGAGTATCTGAAGAGGCATGTACAGAAATCACTATGAAAGTACTTAGAGTAGTGGCAGAAAAGGGATTCAAAATTGATTATGACAAGTGTGCATTTGTAAGACAGAGAGTATCGTTTCTAAAGACTTATCTCACTTCAGAAGGAGTCATGTGTGACCAGTCAAGACTGATCAAACTATCAGAGTTTCCCAAACCAAAAACAGTGAGAGAAATGATGTCCTTCATAAATACGGCAAGCTATATCAGGAAATATATTTTCAACTTCTCCTACATGATGAAGCCCTTGCAGAAAATGTTGATTGATGTAGGCTACACAGATTATGATGGGATCTTGACATGGACTGAGGAGCAAGCACAGGCATTTCAATCAATCAAAGAAAACTATCAATGGTGCAGACTTTACACTGCGTTGATAGGAAATACCCAATTATGATGGAAATCACAATGACTGGAGATTATTATTGTGCAGTGTTGTTTCA